ATCTCCGTGCTCATGTCGTGTGTCAGAACCCTCATGGAGCTAACAGGGGAACCTGGCTTACATGTTGCATGTTGCATGATGCCTGGAAAAACATGCCGATGATGGCCATCATGGCAAGTCTGCCGTTCGCAAGCTCGGCGCTCCTGGAATTGTGAAAAATCTGCTTGGGTGTGCATTTAAAGGGTTTATACGGATTATATAGGGATCCCTGTAAAGTGGGATATAGGAATTAGGGTTGTATTGGGGTTATACTGGGATAATAGAGAAGAAAATGGAAACTACTATCTAGGGTTTAGGGGTGTTCCCAGACCTGAACCTTAACCTAGACCCCAACCCTGAACCATAAACCCTAACCCTAACTCCCCCACAACCCCGCATGGGTATGGGCCCAGGGAACCGGGATCTATCTTCTGGCGCACCTTCGGGGCCTGAAGAATAAGAGCAGGATTTTTTGGGTCTATTCCGCAGTGTATATCGGGTTCATAAGCAGATAATTTTGCAATGGAAGCTTCCATTTTTTCCATTATCCTATAATCCCTATGCATTCCCTTATATAATCCACTGAATAACCATACATATATATATATATGTTCCGCTCTATGACTGTCTTTTGAATCAAGGAAATTAAGGCTTCTACCGAGAACCTCCTACGAACTTCCTGTTTTAGGTTGTATGTCTTAAACCCTTACTTAGGTCATTCCTCTTGACAGTGACTGTCCTCAAAGGGGCCCTAGTAAGGGGCCATTATAACTCCTGTTACATATTATGGTAACATACAATGGAGGGAATAACCTAAGCCCTTGTCATGAAACCACAACCCAAACAGTATCTACAACGGAGCCATTTGGTACATTAGCTTATCACCTTTAAGTTTGGTGGATCCCTCGCCTAGCAATAATGACTTTAAGGCATAATGGTGATTACACTGGGGTCCTCTCATATTCCTGTTATACCCCCCACTATTACAGGGCGGGGGTCCACCTAAGCTTTCAGTTTTGTTTCTGAGCGCTCTCAAGGTGCACGGATCTAAGCTTGTAAGCTTCGTAGATGTTCATCCACCAACAGATAATATTTCGCACTTCCTCACAACCCCTCCCCCAAAAAATTGGTACCAATATATGGGGAGGTGGCATTTCTTATTGGGGGGCGGGTGGGATAGTATTGCGGGAAGGTGAGTATTCCTGCCAAGTATTCACCGAGGTGCAACATTGGTGAATGATCCGCATAGGCAGCACTTGGATTCAGGCAAGCCACTGGAAACTTCAACCCATCCATGGTACTCCACAAGCCACTCTGACAAGCTTGGTTGAATGTTGGACTGTGCTCCAGTAGTCAGTGAGAGGTAGAGTGCTATGAGTGAATCACGAAACCTATCTGGCCACACGCCTAGAGCACTATCACTTTTCCAGGAGATACTTTCCAAGTGAACGGTGGTCTTCACTCCTACTTGAAGCCTGCTGTTGCAACACGCCCTTCCGCGGCCCAAAGCGCCCCTCAATGTCTGACATTCTGCGCATCTCAGCCTCCACAGGCAGTCCACAAGCCATGTCGGTGCGCACCGAAAGCCCGTGTTCTTGCGCTCCGTGCCCCGGACCCTTTGCTACATTCCCCATGAAATCAGCATATTACATAGCCTCCGTAGCGCTCTTTCACGGCTTCTGTAAAAGGCCATGCTGGGGGGAGGGTTGTTGCAAAAAAATGCTCTTCGGTACATACATACCCTATGTAACGGAATATGTACGTAACGGATGTGGGCCCCAGGCCTTGTTACAAGCAAGCCATTGCAATTGTGGCACACGCTCAGAGTTTTGTCTCCACAAGAATGTCCTCTTCTTGGACTATCGAGGTGTGACGCGTGTTTCTGACATGGAGTGATCTTGCTGCGAACGTTCCGCCAGCTTTTTGAGAAGTTCCTCTCGGCAAGCCCGAAACCCCGACCTGAAAAAGCCCATCGCTGCTTGTTGGCATTCGAAGCAGCAAGGGCTTTTGTTGTGAAAGGTGGTTTCTGGTCATGTTCGTTTTGCTCGGAGCCATAATCCGTCTTCTGTCTTAGGAGCAGCTTCTGAGAACCTTCTGCTTCTGCGACGCCGTCCACTTCTGCAAACCTTCCGAGACCACAGCTAGTCTTGCGGTGCTATGTAGCACAGCGAGGAAAAACTGGCTGAACTGTTGATGCCTGCTTTTCAGGAAGGTTCTGCAGCCCCCAAAGAGTGCTGCTATGGAAGGCCCAAGCAGATTCCGACGGACAAAACAAACATGTGGAAGCTAGCGTACACCGAGCACATGCAAAGTGCCACTGAAGTATTGCGATTCAGGGGTCGACTTCAGCACTGCAGCAATCATGAGTGCAAGCGCGCTTGCAGGGCGAAATAGCGCTCTGTAGTTCAGAGAAGGCTCAAGACCGAAGACTGGATGAGCCCACTAGAAGCTTGGAAAAAGACTTGTTTCCTTCTTGTCAGGCGACGGAAGCCATGAATCATCCGCTTCATGGCATTGCATGCGGAATGATGAACACGGTTTCCCCAACTGGCGCAGATCATTGTCCCTTGCTGCCAGGCTAGGACCTATAGGACCTAGGAAGCAGGGTTTAGGGTTTCAAGACATATCAGAACTGAGGCGTTCTGTAGGGAGAAAGCTTTACATCGACTTGCCATGACCAATTCATCCCCTCCTAGTACTGAATCCACCCACCCCTAAACTAATGCTAATCATATTCCCCTGCATAGTGGTATGCTATAACATAATGGGGAACATCCAATATAAATTCGAAACTTGGGCTGCAATAAGGTTAGGCAAAGGTCTGGATACCCATTTACAAAGCAATGCTCCGTAGCTACGTCGCCAAATGCGAGCCAGTAAGGGAACCGACTGCTACCACTGTACAGAGCATCCAAACATCGTAAGTAAACCCAAAAGCATTTGTAAGCAGACTGCTTCATAGGACGTGGAACCCTTGAAGCCTTTCAGAACTCAGCTGATAACAAAGATACGACGTGAAGTTTTGAGATGTGGGATACACGCATTGGGTACTGACGGGGAGGATGTGCCCAAGATCATCCTTTAAACCATCTCGAACCACCCCCGCAAAGTCTAATAACATACAAGCCCTAAGATTTTAGCACGATGTTGTGACGTGAGTCTAAAGCAGATAAATAGAAAAGAAGAAGGTTCAGCCGAGATTCAGCTTCTTGGTCTTCTCAGCAGGGTCGCTTGAGGTCAGGACCTTCCAGCCGAAGTCACCGGCGTAGGCCGCAGTGCCGGGCTCCTGCGTCTGGGAGGCCTGCCGCAGATCAGAAAATGGATCGCCACAACCATCAGTGGTGTACTGCCCCGAGGCTATGATAAGCTTGTAACTATGGCTGTGGGGTGCTGCCACAACAAAAGACTATAATAGTGACTTTTATTTAGCTCATGTACAAGACCCTGCATGCTTCAGCAGTAGAGGACTTTGACAGCGTCATGGAAATGGGGTTGCGCGTGCCGCGAGTTGAAGGTAAAACGTTATACCCCTCTTGTCGATGGCAATAGCAATAACGTCGTCTCCACCTGCATATAGAATCCTGTGCAAATTGCTCACAGAAGTCATGATGGCGCCTGCGACGATTTATTATCAATCCCAAAGGGTCCATGTAGCTCTATAGTATACACCTGGGCCCTAGAAAGTAATAATTTGGAAGCGCCTCTAGGCCCTAAGTATATACTGTATACCAACATTTTGGGAATAAACCATGAAACCCTGAATGAACCTACCGTGAGCATCGGAAGGAGGCCCAGCCCACAGGCGCGCCCATACTCCCCGGTCATCAAGAAATCCACACCAAACTACACGCGAAAGCTTTGGCCAAACAATCATCTCGATGTGAGTACCAGTTACGTAAGATTATATACGCTTAAGCAACAACGGAAATGTGACAAATTACTCATCTTGGGAACAATAATATCGCTATACGTGAAATGCTGCGACACTGCCCACCGTAAGATCTTAACCCTGCCTCGCAGTAGGCCATGTACAGGAGGATCTGACCCCATCCTGCCTGGGGAACCTGCCAATTTCTGGTTGAAGCTCATCAAGACAACATTGGGAAGTCTTGTCAACTTCAGAACCTGAAACTAAACCAACTTGGGACAATTTTGAATTCGGGGTGGAATCGAATGAGACGGTTATAGTTTGCCCGGTAAAGCGGTGCGGCAGCGCAGGCTTTGACAACTTTTCTGGAAGTGGTGCCACGACATTGCGGATAAACTTTTCAGGGCAGGGCCTCTGTGCTTAACAAGGGCGTCAGAGAGTTAACCAGAGTTGTTTCTGGACTTGTCCATGGCTTCCTTCTTGTTTCTTGGAGGCGTTCGCAACACGGGGAGATACCCGTAGAAACCCTAGACAAATATGGAGGAACAAACTATACGAAGACTTTTCCAAAAATATCTCGAGCACCTCTAGTTGTCACGTCAGTAGCGGGGCATTGATCTGACTTCAACAATCACACGGTACACCTTTTGACGCCAATCCCTCTGGGCCCCAACTGCATGCAGTGGACTCAAGAAACCCTAAACAAGAGATCGTTGCCCTGAACTTGTCTTGTGTCAGCCTTGGAGATCGCGGCCAGGCCGTTGGGGATGTCGGCGAATTTCAATCCGGCGGATGGGGACAAATAGCCCGGAAACTTGCCGGTGATCCTTGCAAAAAATGCAGACCGCATTTTGCTGCAAGCATTGCAGGTTGCAACCATTAATCCGAAGCGCTCAAGGTTTCAAGCGTACGATGCTTGAGGGGTTGCCTTTTGATCATGGTAAAACGTTCATATCGGCACCTACGTATGGGACTTGGCCAAGACTACGGACCCTAAAATGTGGGAAATGCACAAAGGGACCCGTGTTGGAACAAGAACCCCAGCAAAGGGACCCATCTTATGCTGAATTTAACGAATCCCTATGCACCTATAATCAACTCCTAGCCAATTTTCCGCAAAACAAACCTTCCCCTCATGTCCGCGCCCGCCGCAACTCTATTGAAGGATCTCTCACGAAAGAGGATAACATGTCAACGGTCAAAAAACAGTTATGGATATTGCCAAAGTTTGGTCAGAGGCCCTTGCGTACGTAATCTTGTTGCACAGTCAATCAATCAAACAATCAATCAATCAACCAGCCAGTCACAGCCAGTCAGTAGTCTGTCAGTTGGGTGTTTGCTTAAATGCATAACGCTGTCTCCGAACGACAAAGCAACCTAACCCTCAAAAAGACACCAAGCAATCCACCCTCAGTTCCTCCCCAAGTACCTTTCAACCATACGAAAGCAAACCACGCAGAGCAACCATACTCAGAGGACAAGGCCTGGATTGGGCATTTGCACTGAAGTTTGGAAAGCGGCTTGTACAATAAGCGTAATCATTCACGCCATTGTTTAAACCAAAACACAAGAACCCTCGCGGCGCAACCTCACTTGGGACGCGCCCAGTGGCGGGTTTGTGCAAAGCAGCTGTTGTGGTCGCGGCGCCGCACTGCGAAATATACTACGATTTTGTTTCGCTCACGGCCGAAAACTCGAAACCCGCGCCATCCCCGTCCCCGTCCTGCCTTCCCACGCTGTCACCGGAGTGCACGAAGAACAAAGCGAGGAAAGAGTCTCACGGGTGCATGCGCACTTAGCAGCCCAGTGCCTCCACCAGAACCGTTGCCGAAAATTGTTTGCCCGACTGGTCCCCCGGTCCAGCAGTCCAAAACGGTAAAATAACCTCGGCTGTAGACAAGCGCGCTTCTTCAGCGGGTCCCAGCACTTGCCCCCGCCCGAGTCTTTAAACCCGTCCCCCCAAAATTGCCTTGAGCGTTCAATTGAAGTTACCGTGTGAGTTTAGGGGCATCCGTGCTAATTAGGTGCGAGTGTACACTGCGATCAAAGCCAATCCTGCGCGATGACTGGCTTCGGTTGAAAAATGCCTACCCAAGTAGAAAAAACCACACCTAGCTCAGAGGCTCAACTGCTCGTCTGTGACTGGAGGGCAAGCCTCCCATCAGCATACTTCCGGCGGGCAATCCACCAGGCATGCAGTTGCTGCGGGAGGTCTTGTTGCCTCTCGTCTGCTGGCTCTGTTTTGCTGCACGGAGGTTCTCCATTGTCATGTCTTTCTCACCGCTCTTGCGTCTGTTGCTGCTTGATGGCTTCAAACGTCGCGTCGACCTGGGATTGAAGGTAATGTTGCGACCTCTCAGTGTGGCACGCGATGCTTCGCGGTACCCTGAGTTTGGCTATGAGCTTGGCTCGCTCTTGCGCGACAACTCACTAGGCACAGACATGCAATCAAGAGCTTCGCGCACGCATCACACTGTGTTGGAAGTACTGCGGCAGGCGGCGCTTGGCGTCCCTGCTTCTCAGTCTCCCACAATTTGGCCTTGGCCCGGCTGGCCCCGCCCCGCCAAGACTCAAGCGCCGCATGTGTCCTGGTGTCAGCTGGTTGGTGCATTGTAATAGGAGCCATTTGGAAACACTCACGCACACATGTGAGCTATAGTCTAAACT